ACACACACACGCCACACACACACACAGACACACCACACACACAGACACACCACACACACACACAGACACACCACACACACACACACCACACACACACCACACACACACACAGACACACCACACACAGACACACACACAGACACATACACACACACCACACACACAGACACACACACACACACAGACACACCACACACACACACCACACACACACACCACACACACAGATACACACACACACCACACACACACACCACACACACACACACACACACCACACACACACACACACCACACACACACACACAAAGGAATTCAAAACCATTGCGGGTGTTGTTCCACATGCCTGAGATTCTGGCGGCTGCATTTCAAATTAAATAGACATTAGTAGAAGCAGCTCTCCCACTGCCACGGCGCGCGGCCGAGGCTTTCCATTGATTTCTCCTGCCCGGAAATTTGCTCTCACAGGAAGCTGCAGGTGCATCAAACACTCTTAGTCCAAAGCAATTCACCAAGCTTGAGAAGAGACCTGGACCAAGCTAAGCACCCATGCAGCCATGTCCCCTGCGTCCGTGCCAGGGCCGCCTCAGTGGGGCCAGGACCACGCCAGGCCCACCTCAGGAATCTTCCCCATGGCACAGGCCCTGTGCCAGTTGCGGCCGGGGGCTCGCGTAGATCTGGTCTGGAGCTCAGGGATTGGGGTCCGTAGACACGAGGAGAGTCGGGGTGGTAGGGGCAAGAACAAGCTGCACCGGACACTGCGCCAGACACTAGCCTCTGGTAAGGGGCTGCCAGACGTTTTTTTTGTTTTGGTTGGTCGTGGGTCTTGAACTCTGGGCCTGGGCACTGTCCCTGCACTCTTCAGCTCAAGGCGAGTGCTCTACCACTTGAGCCACAGCGCCACTTCTGGTTTTCTAGTGGTTTATTAGAGATAAGAGTCTCATGGCCTTTCCTGCCCAGGCTGGCTTTGAACCGCGATCCTCAGATCTCAGCCTCTTGAGTCGCTGGGAAGACAGGCATGAGCCTCCGGCGCCCGGCTGCCGTCCGATGTTAAGTCCTGGGGAGAGTCTTTGCACACTGGGCCTCCGGAGCCCGTGGGTGAGGAGCGTCTCTGCGACCCGCGGAGTCAGTGCCAGGCTGGGGTCCCTGTGCGAGCTCACGCACTGGCTTGATGCTGCTTGGAGTCTCCATCCAGAGCTGAGTACCGAGCTGGGCTTCCTCCAGTCTGTTAGCTGAACTGCATTGATTTGGGCTCCTGAGCACGCCGTTCTCTTTGCTCTGCCTCGGTGGGGATTTTCTTCCTGACCACTTGCCTCAGGGCCCATGGCGGGTGTTGGATCCTAGCATTGTTCTGGGGTCCTTGGCCACAGCGGCTCTGACATCCGGTCTCAGGAAAACCATCACCCGCACCACCGCACCTGCAGCAGCAGCGGCATCTTCATCCACACCAGTCTCTTGTCCGAGGTGTGTGTGTTGGTGCAGGCGGTGAGCCCAGGCCTCCCATGTCGGATGTGACCGGCGTGGCGCAGCGTGGACAGGACAGTGGTCCTGACACGGCACGGGGCCATGGTGTGGACAGGACAGTGGTCCTGACACAGCTCGGGGCCGGAGCAGGAAAGGGCTCAGGCACTGGCCCTAATGGATGCCGATGCTGGGTGAAAAGCCCACCCGGAACTGTGGGTAGAGGGAAGACAGAACTGCCCCATCCGAGGGTCGAGCCAAGGCCACAAAGACAGAGAAAAATGGAACGGGGGGGAGGGGGCTGCACCTGGTGACCCCACAAAGGCCGGCGGCGTGTGGGTGTCCAGCTGTGGGAGGCAGCGTGGGGAGCCCTCAGACTGTTCCCTGCCCCCTCTTCACATCCTCCCCCAGGCCGGCGGGGGGGCGGCTCATTTCCCTGAGCTGGAGGCCTCAGCCGCTCCCTGGCCTCCCCAGCCCCGCAGATGTGCGAAAGGGAAGGGCGAGGGCAGCGTCAGGTGCAGAAGAGGCGGGAAGCGTACTGCGTGCTCGCAGGGCCCGTGGCCTGCAAAGTAGTTAGGACTTCAGGCGGGAGGCCCCACAACCAGCTAGTGTCTTCCATGAGTAGCCAGCAGTGCCTTTATTGTCTGGTTTTGGGGTGATTAGGGGTCAGGGGCGGGGGGGGGAGGTCCTGGGGCTCGAACTCAAGGTCTGAACGCTGTCCCCGAGTGTTATTCACTCAAGGCTAGCACTCTATCACTTGAGCCACAGCTCTACTCTCAGCTTTTTGCTAGTTACTTGGAGATCAGAGTCTCACGGACTTTCCTGCCCAGCTGGCTTCAAACGTCGACCCTCAGCTCTCGGCCTCCTGAGCAGCCGTGTGGCTGAAGCGCAGCTGTGTCTTTGCTTTTGGGCCTGAATGCAGCGCCACCCGGGCAGGGCACCAACCCGCCTGGGCTCCAGCAGGGCTGTGGCCAGCGGCCTCCGGTGTTGGACTCGGTGCGTCTCTGTTGTGTCTAGCTGGACCTGGCCGCACAGTACATCAAGGCGGCGGTGAAGAACGTGCCCTCAGTGTTCCTCATGACGGACTCCCAGGTGGCAGAGGAGCAGTTCCTGGTGCTCATCAACGACCTGCTGGCCTCAGGGGAGATCCCTGGGCTGTTCGCGGACGACGAGGTGGAGAACATCATCTCCTCCATGCGGCCGCAGGTGAAGTCCATGGGTGTGGCGGACACACGGGAGGCATGCTGGAAGTTCTTCATCGAGAAGGTGCGCAAGCAGCTTAAGGTAAGACCCCCAGCACCCCAAGGCTTGAGTCTGTACCCCCCTGAATTGAGACCATCTCTTCCCAGGCTACTGGGGGCCATGGGGAGAGGGGGGGGCTCGAGCCTGGACATTGTTCAATGCACGCTGTCAGAGCTAGCTCAGGGCTGGAGAAAGTATTTCCTCACTTAAGCAAGTGTAAGGAAGTAGACACCGCTTGGCTGTCAGCACTCCTGGACTCCTCTGGTATAGCTGAGAGCCCCCGGGAGCCTGGGGTTTGTCCTCGGAGTTCAGGTAGAGTGACTGTCCCTGGCAGAGGTCAGCCCCAGCCCTGGTAGGCATCTGTGGTGGTCACCTGATGCGATAAGAGCCAGGGTCCCGTCCAGCGTTGTCTCTGGCCCACAGTTCCCTTGGTGGATCCTAGCCGTGGGACCAGAGACCCCATAGCCGCCTCCTGACCCACCTCCTCCAGGCGGCCAGCTCCTCACCCCCAGGGAGGGCTGGGGGGTGTGTCCCCGGCCCCATGCAAAGGGCCACTTCCCATGAGCCAGACCCCCCCCCCCCGCAGCCATGCAGGGAGAGACCAGAGAATGAGGAGGGCGGCGAGGCTGAGGCTCCGTGAGAGGGACAGCCCTCCTCCCGCAAAGGGACCCGAAGGCCTGTCCCCGGCACCTTCTCCAGCGGGGTGGGGGTCTCAGGGTCTGCGCCGGGAGCTCGGCGCTGTCCTTCAGGGCCTCCCCACCTCTCCCTCGTCTGCGCTTTCCTTCCCAGCACCGTCAGGGTGACGCTGGGGTCTGGCCGCCCTTCACACCCCAACGCAGGACTGCTTCCCCAGGCGGGGGACGCGGGGGCCCGCATCTCACCTCTAGGTGATCCTGTGCCTCCCCCGCATCTCACCTCTAGGTGATCCTGTGTTTCTCCCCCGTGGGTTCCATCCTTCGCGTGCGAGCCAGGAAATTCCCTGCCGTGGTCAACTGCACGGCCATCAACTGGTTCCATGAGTGGCCAGAGGACGCTTTGGTGTCTGTCAGCGCTCGCTTCCTGCAGGAAACAGAGGGTATCCAGGTGAGGCAGAAATGGCACGGGCTCAGATTCCCAGTCCCCAGGCCCAGCACCCAGGCCCAGCCAGGGATCCGCACAGAAACCAAAAAAGCATGCATTCATTGGTTGAACACATTTTCAAATGAACCGGAATTAAAACTGAGGCCCCCTTGAACCATTTCCGGGGCACAGCTCCAGGGCTGGTCTCGGAGCAAGGCAGGTCAGATGTCTGGGGAAAGTCAGGACACCTGAGATCTGACAGGAGGAGAGGCTGAGTGATCAGAGGGGAGCTGGGCCGGCCCAGGGTGACCGGCCCACGTGCCCCTCACAGCCAGAGGTGAAGATCTCCATCAGCCTCTTCATGGCCTACGTGCACACCACCGTCAATGAGATGTCCAGGGTGTACCTGGCGACCGAGAGGCGCTACAACTACACCACGCCCAAGACCTTCCTGGAGCAGATCAAACTCTACCAGAACCTGCTGGCCAGGAAGAGGATGGAGCTGGTTGCCAAGATCGAGAGGCTGGAGAATGGCCTGATGAAGCTGCAGAGCACGGCGTCACAGGTAGGGGGCGCGAGGCGTGCAGGGCACATGCTCACACATGCACACATGCATGCACACACGTGCACGCACACACGCGCTGTTGTGGGAGGTGGTAGCATGTGGAGCCAAGACCACATACAGCAGCATGAACGTGACTCTCTTGCCACTGAGGAACCATCCTTCCTGGTCCCGGTGAGTCCTGGTGAGGATGCGTGCCCCCGTGAGGACTCGGGTGGGACATGCGTGGGTTTAGCGGCGTCGGGATCAGGGAGGGCTGATTCTCCAGTCCCGGGCGGTCGGTGGAAGGCACGGTTCTCACGCCCCATTCACAGCCCGGTGCCCCGCTCAGAAAGCATCCCAAGGTTTTCTCTCCTGTTATATTGATTTTTCACGTCAGCTTCCTGACTACAAATGACCTCCATAATGGAGGCTTCCACACTGGACAGTGGCCTGCCCCCTGCCTCGATCAGAGGCAAGCTGGGCACTCACACCGGTTCCCAGAGAGCTCTCCTTTCCTGTCCCCCTCCCCCTGCCTACCAACCCCGAGAGCCCCGGACACCCACACACCTCCAGCGCCTCAACGCTGAGACTGGGTGGACTTGTTTTATCTGTTCACCCAGAGTGCCAACCCCCAGAGCACCAGGAACTGTCTTGAAGAGGGCCATGAATACAGACTTGACCTTTGAGATATTGAAAAGATTCTCAACCCACATGCTGGTAGCTCACTCCTGTAATCTTAGCTATTCAGGGGGGCTGAGATCACAGTTCGAATCCAGCCCAAGCAGAAAAGTCCATGAGACTTTTTGTTGGTGGTGGTGGTTGTGGGGCCTGAACTCTGGGCCTGGGCACTGTCCCTCAGCTCTTCAGTTCAAGGCTAGTGCTCTACCACTTGAGCCACAGCGCCACTTCTGGTTTTCTGGTGGTTTATTGGAGTTTCACAGATTCTCCTACCTGGGCTGGCTTTGAACCAAGATTCTCAGATCTCAGCCTCCTGAGTAACTAGGATGACAGGCGTGAGCCACCCGCACCCAGCTCCATGAGACATTTTATCTCCAGTTAATCACCAGAAAAGCTGGAAGTGGAAGTGTGAATGGTAGAGTGGCCCACTTTGAGCCAAACACTAAGATTCAGCACCCTGGCCCAGAGTTCAAGCCCCAAACCCCTTCTACTGACAATAAAATTGAAAAAGAAATGAGTCCCTGGGAGTCAAAAGCCACCAGCATTCTACAGCTCTGCTCAGCCCACAGAGGGTTGCTCTGCCGGCCACGCCCACTTTTGCCCATCCCTGGCCTCTCTGTCATAGGTGGACGATTTAAAGGCCACACTCGCCATCCAGGAGACTGAGCTCAAGCAGAAGAATGAGAACGCTGATAAGCTGATCCAGGTGGTTGGTGTGGAGACCGAGAAAGTCAGCAAAGAAAAGGCCATTGCGGACGAGGAAGAGGTCAAGGTTGAGGTCATCAACAAGGTAGGCAGGGCTGTCCAGCCAGGCCCCCAGCCTCAGGCCTCCTTGCCACTCAGGAGGCTGAGATCTGAGGATCATGGTTTGAAGCCAGCCCAAATAGAAAATAAAAGCCCAAAGCCAGGCACTGGTGGCTCACACCTGTCATCCTGGCTAGTCAGGAGGCTGAGATCTGAGGATCACTGTTCAAAGCCAGCCCGGGCAGAAAAGTTCATGAGACTCTTATCTCCAATGAAAAGCAGGACTGACACCTGGCCCCACCCACTCTGGCAGCTGAGGGGTGGGCTCCTGTCCTCCCTCCCCACCCCACACAGGCAGGAATGGACAGCCCTGTGCTGACTCTCCCTTCCGTCCCACTGCCTTCCAGAACGTGACTGAGAAACAGAAGGCTTGTGAGACGGACCTGGCCAAGGCCGAGCCAGCCCTGCTGGCTGCCCAGGAGGCCTTGGACACTCTGAATAAGGTGATGGAGGCATCAGAGAGGGGAAGGGGGCGGGCGCTGGCCGCGGGGCCGGCAGTGACACTCGCGTGGCTTGGGGCCTCGCAGAACAACCTGACGGAGCTGAAGTCCTTCGGGTCCCCCCCAGACGCCGTGGTCAACGTGACGGCCGCCGTCATGATTCTGACCGCGCCAGGCGGCAAGATTCCCAAGGACAAGAGCTGGAAGGCCGCGAAGCTCATGATGGGCAAAGTGGACGCGTTCCTGGACTCCCTGAAGAAGTTTGACAAGGAGCACATCCCCGAGGCCTGCCTGAAAGCCTTCAAGTGAGTCGGGCCGGCTCCCCTGAGTCGGGCAGCGCTGTGTGGACGGCCTCGCCCGAGTCCTTCCCGCCGCTGGGCCCGGGCTGAGCTGAGTGAGGAGGATGCCAGCACAGGCCACCTTGTGAGCCGCCAGGGTTGGGGGAAGCGTGCATGGCCCCCCGGCGGCTGCACCTCCATCTCCGGCTTGAAGAGAGCTGGGCAGACGGAAATGAAGCAGCAGCCTCCCCAGTGGCGCCTCCGGCACACAGGCCTGGCACGGGAAACCCTGGGCCACCGGACCACAGAGAGCCTGGCCTCGCACAGAGGCCCGGCCCTGTCCCCGGAGCAGACCCCAGCCTGCTCATGCAGACAGACGCACACTTGAATGCAATGCACACGTGCATTGTGCACTCTGGTGTACACACAGATGCACACTTGAATGCAATGCACACGTGCATTGTGAACTCTGGTGTACACACACATGTACATGCGCACATGTATATGAATGCAAAACATTGCACACACATACTAAGAGGTGTGTGTGCCATGCTCACACATAGGGTCACACACATACCTATATAGACACCAGCCAACACACACACAAATACATGACATCTGTACACATGTGTGTGCATCTGTGTGCCCACAAACACATAGGCTCACATGCATTTATATACACACAAGTACCAGTGTGGAACATCCATACATTGCATCTGCATTCCCACATGCACGCAGGCTTGCACACATACACACACAAGTACTGGTGTGGACATCTCTATACGCTGCATACGCATTCCCACATACGGGCAGGCTTGCACCCAGAGACACATGTGTGAATGCGAAGTGTCTGTACCCATATGTGTATATGTGTGCCCATGTACACACAGGTTCACACGTGTGTGCTTGTGTACACAGCATACATGGTGGGGAGTGCCCACATGCACTCAGCCTCACACATACAGTGCCCATTTGGTTTTTTGTTTTTGTTTTTTGTTGGTCCTGAGGCTTGAACTCTGGTCCTGGGCACTGTGCCTCAGTTCTTCAGCTCAAGATGATTGCTCTACCATTTGAGCCACAGCACCACTTCAGTTTTCTGGTGGTTTATTGGAGATAAGAGTTTCACAGACTTTCCTGTCCAGGCTGGCTTTGAACCAAGATCCCCAGATCTCAGTCTCCTGAGCAGCTAGGATGACAGGCATGAGCCACTGGTTCCCGGCTCAGTGCTCATTTGCTGGGGCTCTGTCTCGCACGGCCCCCAGGGCTGCCTATGGCTCCCTCTGGAGTGGCCTGGGACTGGGGAAGGGACTGGGACTGTTGTCACAAGGTGGTCCATTCTGGGAGTGGCCCATGGCCCCCAGAGGCGCACACTTGAGGGAGACTGATAGGATTAGTAGGGAATCATTTGAAGTATATGACAGTAAAGGCAGGGCAGGGTGTGGCTCAAGTGGTGGAGTGGTCACACAGTAAACACAAGCCCTGAGTTCAAATCCCAGAACCACTTAAAAAGTGAAGATGAGAAAACAAGACAAACCTGATAGATCTACTACAGCGTGCAGCTGCGCTCAATGTGCATGTGTGTGCATGCGCATGTGAGTATGTGTGCATGTGAATGTGTGTATGCGTGTGTGTGTGTGTGCACGCATACTGTGTGTGTGTGCTGTGTGTGTACATGCGTAATCCAAAGCCTTGCACATGCTAGCCAAGAGCTCTACCACAGAGACACATCCCGACCTAGAAAAAATGTTTTTGGTATATTTCTTTCCCATTTTTTTTTAGTCTTCCATAGTTAAAATGCTATTAAAAACACAACTATTTGTGCTGCTACAAAAGCACAATGGCTTAGGATACATTGTATATATGGATAGAAATGTCCCAAGGAAGCCTCTCATTGTACAACTAATATATGCTGAAAATATTATAAATAAAACATAAACTGGAAAAAAAAAAGCACAGTGGCTCATGCCTGTAATCCCAGCTACTTGAAGGTGGAAATCAGGAGGACGGTAGTTCAAGTCTAACCTGAGCCAAAAGTTCACAAAATCCCATCTTTTAAAAACGGAGCACACAGTGGTAGAGCGCTTGTCCTGCATGCATGAGGCCCTGGGTTCGATTCCTCAGCACCACATAAGCAGAGAAAGCCAGAAGTGGTGCTGTGGCTCAAGTGGTAGAGCACTTGCCTTGAGCTGAAGAGCTGAGGGACAGCGCCCAGGCCCAGAGTTCAGGCCCCACAACCAACAAAACAAAAAACAAAAACTGAGCACACTGGTACGCACCTGCAACCCCAGCTAAGCAGGAAGTATAAATAGGAAGCTCAGAGACCAGGCCAGCCCGGACATAAATGCAAGACTCTAGATGAAAAAAAAGCAACAAAACCAAAAAAGGGCTGAGGTGAGGCTCAGGTGCTAGAGCATCTGCCCAGCAAACAAAAACAAAACCATCCTTCCTCCACCAAAACCGAAGCCACAGCCCTACTGCCCTTTCCCTCACTTTCACTTTAGAGGCCAGATACTTGCTTTTTTTCTTTCTTTCTTCCTCATGTCTCCCCGGGAGAAGTACTGGGAACTCAGGGCTTCACATTCCGCTTAATCTTTTTTGTTTTCACCAAAAACATGGCGGGGGTAGGGGTGGGAGGGAAGTTGGTGTACCACTTGAGCCATGTGTCTACTTTGGGCTTTTTGCTGGTTAATTGGTGATAAGCATTTCAGATTGATCTGCTGGCTTTGAATCCCGATCCTCAGAGCTCAGATTCCTGAGCAGCTACAATTAAAGACATGAGCCACATTTTTTTTTCTTCCTTCTCCTGTCACCATTAAAGTAACCAAAAAAAAAAAAACAAAAAACCTCAATATGGTGTCCAGGGTGGGCTCCAGCACCCCGCGAGCCCTGGGCGGCGGGCGCGGCGGGCGCGGGGCCTGCCCCCTGCAGAGCCCGCCCCGCAACTGTTCCCATGCCAGGCCCTACCAAGGCAATCCCACCTTCGACCCCGAGTTCATCCGCTCCAAATCCACGGCTGCAGCCGGCCTGTGCTCCTGGTGCATCAACATCGTCCGCTTCTACGAGGTGTACTGCGATGTGGCGCCCAAGAGGCAGGCCCTGGAGGAGGCCAACGCAGAGCTGGCAGAAGCGCAGGAGAAGCTGTCCCGGATCAAGAACAAGATTGCGGTAAGTGCCGGCTCAAGAGGCCCCCCCCACCTCCCCACCCACCCCCACCCCCGTCCAACTCCCAGCCACTAGCTCATGCTGTCTGCGGGTCAATACCTTGGTTTCAAATGCGCCAGCTCAGCCTGCCAGTGTGAATTATTCAGCACCAGGGGAGACTGCAGGCCGGCGTCAGGACCAGAGAGCCTGTGGGCATATGTGGGCGAACAGAGATGATACGGGCAGGGCTGAGACCAGGACTTTGCAGGGGGCAGCTGGGCACCTGCCCACCGTCCTCCAACCCAAAAGGAGTCTGTCCTGTACTGACCTTGCTCTGTCCTCTCAGGGCTGCGAACGGTGAGGGCCTTCCCATTACTACTCCATGGCCTTTCCCATCTGTTTTCCCAGGAGCTCAACGCCAACCTGAGCAACTTAACATCAGCATTCGAAAAAGCAACCGCAGAGAAAATCAAATGTCAGCAGGAGGCGGATGCCACTAACAGGGTTATCTCCCTGGCCAACAGGTAGCCGGGCCTCCCCAGACCCACCCCTCCTGTCCCTGAGCCCCCACCACCAAAGGAATAACTGAGGCCTTTCCAGGACTTAACCTGGGGCAGAGTATGTCCCTGAGCACCGGAATCAGCGGCTGCTGGGGTCTCCCCCCACAGCCCTCTCTCCCTGTCTCTTCTCACACCCGGCACAAAGGACAAGGGTGGTGCCAGGCAGCTGTGTGGTTCAGGGAAACGACAGGAAAGCAGTCTGCGCACATGCCCAGTGTTCTGTGCGTGCCGGTCCCGCGGCTGGCGCTCTACCACTCAAGCCACAGCTCCACTTCGAGCTTTTTGGTGGTGAAGCAGTAGCCTGGTGGCCCCAGGCTGATGGTCAATGATTTGCTTATGGACCCTGGGAGGCCTGGGAGAGTCCAGGAGCCTGGGGTACTGTGACCAGGGTAGGGTGGACACCAATTAGGAGAAGCACAACGTGTATGCCAGAGGCCCCGCTCCCCTGGGGCCCAGGCCTGTGCCCTCTGGACACAGCATGGTCCTGGGCTGCTATGGCCCCAACCCTGAGCTCTGAAGCACTGGGTGACGCCATCCAGTGACACTGGAGTGAAGGTGTACGTGCGCACAGTACCCGGGGCCACGTGTCTCTCCCCAAAGCATTCATCCCCAAGTCCCCAACACCCCGCTGCTGAGCCACCGAGCCACACAAGTGAGGACTTAACTTGGAAGTCTGCAGACGGGGCGGGCGGCCGTCGAGGGGAGCACACCGGGCCCCAGCCGCTCCCGCCTCGGTTCCCTTCCAGGCTGGTGGGAGGACTGGCGTCAGAAAACGTCCGCTGGGCGGAGTCGGTGGAGAACTACAAGGTCCAGGGGGTCACGCTGTGCGGGGACGTGCTGCTCATCTCCGCCTTCGTCTCCTACGTGGGCTACTTCACCAAGAAGTACCGGAACGAGCTGATGGAAAAATTCTGGATCCCTTATGTCAACAGCTTAAAGGTGAGACGCACAGTCCTGTTCAGGACGCGGGGTTCGGGGAGGCCCCGCAGCACCTGCATCTCCCGCGGCGAAGGCTCAGTTCTGACTGCAGGGCAGGGCAGGGCAGGGCAGGGCGTTACTGGCTGGGACGGCGGCTCCCCAGCGAGCTGGCAGGCCGCAGCCCCGTTCTGAGAACGCGCACCCCGGCCTGCAGGTGCCCATCCCCATCACAGCGGGCCTGGACCCCCTGACGCTGCTGACGGACGACGCGGACGTGGCCTCCTGGAACAACCAGGGCCTCCCCAGCGACCGCATGTCCACGGAGAACGCCACCATCCTGTGCAACACGGAGCGCTGGCCCCTCATCGTGGACGCCCAGCTGCAGGGGGTCAAGTGGATCAAGAACAAATACGGCAGCTCACTCAAAACCATCCGCCTGGGGCAGAAGAGGTGCGGTCAGGTGGCCGGGGGCAGAGCGGGGGGGGGGGGGCAGGGGGGGGGGGGGGGGGCATGTGGAGACGCTGAGGGCGGGCTGGCTGAGGGTGGGCAAGCAGGAATGGCCCCGGCATGAAATCAGCCGTGCGCCAGTGGCTCCCGCCTGTCATCCCAGCTACTCAGGAGGCTGAGCACTAGAGGATTATGGTTCAAAGCCAGCCCACACTGAAAAGCTCACATGACTCATCTCCAAATGAAATAACAAAAAGCTAGAAGGTGGAGGCATGTCTCGAGTGGTAGAATACCAGCCTTGAGGGAGAAAGTCCAAGATAGATAAATGAATATCATAGTAATACTACTAATAAGTTGAATTAAATCAGGCCCTCTCCCCTCTGATCACTGTGTTCCTAGACTCGTGGTTGGACTTGTGTCCCCCTAGGTTATGGCTTGGGGAAGGGATGGGGGGGCTCCAGGCTGACATCTTCTCCTTTTTTTTTTTTGTGGGTCTGGTTGTGGGGCCTGAACTCTGGGCCTGGGCACTG